CCTCAGCGCCGGCTGCGCATCCCTCTGCCAGCTCCTGCCCATCGCTGCTTGGCCGGCTCCCTGTCGCCTCCTGGGCTTTTACTTTTGTCCTACAACCCCGGCACCCATCATTATTTCCATGGGAACCCTCCTGAAATCTGTATCAATGCATCCACCGGGGTCACCGAGCCTCCCTCTCCCCCGTGCCCTATATTCCAAGCCCAGTCGCTGCCCATCTCCGGTTACAGGTGACATTTCTCTCTAATCCCAGGGAGGCTGCCGCTCTCTGGAAGGGAGCAGAAGGTGCTGGAGTTTGGGGACACATCCAAGACACACAAACACCTTTGTCCATGCCAGATGCTGGCAGGATGCTGCTGCCTTCGAGCGAACCGTGGGCAAGAGGATGGCATGAGACGGGATGGGAACCGGGAGCAGAAGATTCCCAGGGTGCCTCCAGTTTGGAGAACCCCAGTTCTGCTCTGTACGGAGCTCGTGACCCAGCTGCGCCGCATGGTTATCCACGATGAGTTAATGCCACCTCAGTGCACTTGGAGGGGAGATGTTTCCATGGCGGGAGAGTGGGGCACCATCCCCGGGGCAGCCGGCCAGCAAAGCCAAGCCCCTGCAGAGTGGTACCGCCAAAACCCCAGCTCTTGCCATGTGCTCGGCCATCCGACACATGTTTGTGCTGCTGGTAAGGAAAGGGGCAGCACCGAGCAATCCTCTGGAGCACGAGCATGATGCTTACCCGGCCTTGCACCGTGATATGGGCGTTTGGGTGCTGTGGGTTTTTGGCGAGTTTATCACAGCAAGCACGCACCAAAGGTGGGAGAAGGGGAGCAGATGCCGAAAGTCCGGAGACCACGGCCCGGCAGGAGCCTGCTCCAGGAGCTGCATTGAGCCAGGCACGGGGATGGCGTCTCTATGGGAGCTCTCACCGCCCCTTGCCTGGATGACTCAAGGAATTGGGGGATTTGAGATATGTCTCAGGTTTTCAAATTCACCGTTAATCAAATCCCAAATGCTAAAAGGAATCAAGAGACATGAAAAGTGTTGCTAAAGAAGTAGGGGGTGGGGGGGAAGGAAACAAATAAACCCACACCCCCCCAGTCCCCAGCGACAGAGCAGCCTGCTTCTGCATCATATCTCATCTGGGAAAAATTATATGTTGTGAATTACGTGCTTCTTTTGAAAAGCCTTAAAGGAGATTTAATAAAATGAGACAAGCTAATAATATAGGGAATGAATAGCAACCCTGGATGCTGCATCTTGATTTAATCAGATGCTTTTCCCCAGGGGGACGAGCGAGAGCTATAGCTAAAGCCTCCCTTCCCTTCCCTACCCAGCTGCTCCCCTCTTCCCCCAGCCTCTCGCTCCTTCTCCTGTCCCAGGGGAATAGCCGGGGCAGGATTTGGGGTCCCACAAGACCCCGCTGTTCATCAGCAGCCGCTGGGAAATGCACAGCCCACGCTGGTTATTTGTGAGCGGGCAAAAGAGTGGCACGCCAGGGTGCCGTACACCAAACAGGGAAAGGGTCCCTGTCTGAAGAACAGGTCCCTGTCCTGGGGGGTAAAAGCAGGAACTGGGGAGCCAGAAAAGCCACTGGGCTGGGGAGAGGGCTTGGCCCGTGTGCGTACTCAAAAAGCCCCGGTCCGGAGCCAGGGAATGCCCCGTGCTGCTGCGCAGGGGACAAGCCCTGGGTAGGATGTGAAGCATCTTAACGGCAAAGATAAGGAGCTGGAGTGGGATGTGCTCCTCTCCGTGGCCTGGGAGAGGCCGTGGGGTCTGCGTGTGCCAGGGCGGGAAAGGCACAAACAGCTGCTCCAGTCTTGGCTTTTTCACTGCTTGGACCCATAGGCCCCAGCCGTGAACGGAGGCTGGCTCAGCCCCGGGGTGAGGATACTTCCCAGCACCGCAGCGCACTCAAAACTGAAAGTTGCGTTCTGATGTAATTGTTCTTTTCCGAGTATTCCCCTGCCTGCCCCTGGGCCGGGCAGCAGGATGCACGCTCCTGCCTCCTGGTACATTTTGCTTCCTACATTTTTGCAGGGCGAGCTCTATTTTGCTGCTTGCACAGTTCGTCCAAGCCAGACCCTGGGGAGCCGCATGTTCTGTCGCCGGGATGTTTGCGTGACTTTCGTGGAATTTCCTTTCCTCAGCCACTTGCTCGTGGACACCGGGCGGATTTTGTTCATTGGCAGGTGGCTGGTAAACCCGGGTGGGTGCAAATAAGGAGAGAAATAGCAAGAAACCAGGGAATGATCTGTACTGAAGATGTTCGACTCCATTGAAGGTGCCTGCAGTCGCCGGGTTTCATGCACGGCAGCCTGCCTGAGGCTCTTGCTGTTCCGAGCAGCCGCATGCGTGAGAGAGCAAAGAGCCTGTATCCTCCAAACCGGGCGAGGAGCAAGACACCCTGCAAATGGCAGGGTCAAATTCTGCACAGGTGGTACAGCAGCTGTGGGGGAAAAAAAGCTATTTTATCTGCCCCTGCTTAAAACTTGGGCTATTTGCAGTCAGGTCTGAAATAGGTGGTGATTTTTAACAGAGTCATAACTGTAGGAAGGCTTTGCCTTGCAGCGAGGTGGATCCTTTATCATCCATCACTGGCAGCCGGCTCCTGGCAAATGTGTTCTGCTTCCACTGGGAGATGAGTTTCTATATGATCCTGGGAGGACTCAGCCTAATGCCTCGTGATGCTCCTCTCCTTCGGCTCTGCGTGACTCTGCGAGGAGCTGGGCTCTGGGATAGCGCAGGCAGTGCCCACGTCCTCTCCCCGGGAGCTCCCGCAGCCATCAGCTCTCCTCTGCCCGCCCAGGATCCCTGGCCCTTGCTCCCAGGGGGTGCCTCCGGTCACATCCCGCATCCCTGAGCCGAGCCCACGGGATCCTGGCGGCACATCTGCCTCGTGGCATGTTCTGCCTTTGCTGTTGCCAAAGAGCCTTTTGGAGGGAGCAAATGGATTTTCCATTGCTGAAGCCTGTTAACCGAAGAGTAGGCTTCGCGTTCTTACCCATTCCTGGCACGATTAACAGTTGTACGGTTAACACTAAACACCAATAGAGATATTCGATTTGTCTGCCCCCCAGAGACCGGTGCTTCCTATTCCCCCCGTTGTTTTCCATCAACCGCTTCAATTAAATGATCTTTTTGCTATTTTGGAGTGATACATTTGCGCTCTGCCATTAAACCTCTTTGCTGTCTCGCACACGGATCAATAAACATGGGAAACTGTCCCACTTTCTCTCCCCGAAGCGTCCTTGTGCCTCTGCTGCCAGGCACGGCTGGGGCTGCCAGGGGCTCCTTAAACCGCTGCTCCCTTCCACCCCGCAGGCACCAGCAATTCCCTGCAAACCTTGGGACAGTGTTTAAATTAATGTCCAAGCCTGAGACCACGCTCGGGGGGAGACGAAAAAGCTCAGCAGCATCCATTTCTCAAGCGGTGCTGATGAAATGCACCATGCTCCACAAATTTGGGCATTCCAGCTGTCCCCCAGGTCCCTCTCGGGGTTGTAGGTGAGGCTTCTGCTACCCTGAACCCTATTTAAACATCAATGCTCGCTAAGTTGTTTTTTTTCGAATAGGTTCTCACAGGTTTGTGGGGTTGGGTCTTTTTTGTGATTCAAACTTTCTCAGGAGCCTGATGTGAAAGAGGAGCTTGGCTTTTCCTGCGTCTCGCTTCTCCTTGGTGGCACAAGGGTCCCTCCACACAGGGATGCTCCCCTTTCCCCAAGGAGCATCGCCTGGGTGCTGCTGCTTCGGGAGGGTGCTGGTG